TGAGAGAGAGAGAGAGAGAAGGGAGGAGAGAGAAGGGGTGGGGGTGAGGTGAGGGGAGAAAAAAAGGAGAGAAAGGACAATAAAGACAGGGGAACTGTAAGGGTACCAAAGAAGAAAAAGAAAGAGAGACAGAGAGAGAGACAGTGGGGGAGGGAAGAAGAATGAGCTAATGAGAAGAGTAACAAAAAGAGAGACACATAAAAAAACTGAGATCTAACAAGACACATCAAAAAGAACACTGCACTAACACAGACAAGAGATTCTCTATTTGATCTACCATCGCTTCAAGGCACCGAGGATTCCTATCTTTTTTCTTTCACTTCTTTTCTTTTTTTTTTCTTTTTTTTTGTATTTTTCTCTTCAACCTTTTCTAAGACCACTCACAACTCACCACTACACCCCCCTATAAAGAATACTATTATTAGATCTAAACAAACGTGCGCATGCGCATCCACTTGTACTCGTGACGTCACTTCTCTTTGGCAAAATCAACATCCTCCCACCCCATTTTCCCCCTTTTCAGATTCCTATAGACACTTGTGTGTTAGCTCTGTACATACATGGCGTCACTACCGGACTCTGGCAAATAAGCGCATTGCTAGGGCTTTTTTTCCCTCCACAGTGTTACTGTACCAAGGTAAATAAGCGCTCTGTTCGTTTACTCATCATTACGACACTACCTATTTTCTTCTCTCAGTTTTTCTCTTTCTTTCTCTCTCCCTCTCTCTCTCTCTCTCTCTCTCTCTCTCTCTCTCTCTCTCTCTCTCTCTCCCTCTCTGATTTTTGTTATTACAATCCACACAAAGAAAGAAAAATCAATTCCATCTTTTTGGAAAATGAACATCCCTTGTTCCCTCAAAAAAAATATCAGTAAGAAGTAAAAGACCTAGGTTTCTGATCTGTAACAAATAAAGATACAGAAGTTCATTCTTACATTCATCAAACTTCTTCCTTCTTAATCATCTTGTTGTAAGTATTCATATGACCTGAGAGCAGGCATCAGAAAACCATTGAGTTCGTTCATGTCATCTATGTGACTGTAAGCCTGTTAGTGACTGCAAACATACTATGTGTGTACATGTAATGTTTCTCTCTCTGTGTTTCTCTGTCTCTCTCTCTCTCTCTCTCTCTCTCTCTCTCTCTCTCTCTCTCTCTCTC